TGGAAGACAAACGGACAGAAAATAACAGGTGAATCAGAAACACTAATAATCAGATCTGTAACTACATACCCTGTACCATCTGAACTTTATTAGTCTCCCTGTAAAATATTTTGATTTTTCTGAGTGAACTTTATATCCATCAACAAACTGTAGTTAGTACAACAAACCACAAACTGTACTCCGCGAAACACCTCATACCTCTTGAATGTAGTAGCTTTAGGCAAAAAAAACCTAACACTTTCCTGCCTAATGTCTAAATATTGCCTCTGTGGTGAGCTCATGGAAGTGGAAGCGATTACACAATTCAATTGAGATAGGCTTTTTATAGATCATCAGACAACATACTCTAACAAATCTTGACACACAATAAAAGTACAGTTATTTATTAAGATTTAGCATATTCTGAATATCTATTATACCATTTCTGGAAAGGCAGAAAGCAGTTACCGAATCTTGAATTAGAAACTCTGCTCTAAACATCCAGAAAGGAAGAGAAAAGGAAAGTCTGTTTCTTACTTCAAATAATGTCAAGGCAATACATATACGTGACATTTAAACTTTAGATATGCACAATTAGACACTTAAGCCTGTGCCAGAAGACCTTCTCGCAGATGATTTCTAGTCAGTGTGCCGCGAGTGGCTTCTCGATGAATAAGCTGTGATTGCTCTTGTTGATACAGTTTCAATTTTTTGTATAAAATTGAACAATAAGACGCACATATCCTACCTGGCATAATACAGGTAAACAACAGAAGGGGAAGTTAAAGTTATTACCAGTAAATACAATCAAGTCAGGCCTTTCAATGTGAATCATCTTCCTCAAGAAATGAGTAGTGTTGAGGTCAGAACAGTAATTGAACTCACTCTCCAACACATCTCTACACCGAGTCACCATCCCATTCCCATAGTGCATATCCGCAACCTGAAACACACCAAATTGGAACAAAATTACAACACCCACTTTGCCACAAAATCTACAAGAAAGATAAGCTGATTTTGCTCAACTTGTTCAAACATTTTCCATACAACCCAGTTAAAGTTTTTCGATTTACTTTAACATTTTTCCAACAATTTTTTTATTTTATTTTCTAGTAAAGCAAAAAAGAAGTTAATTTTTGTAATAGAACCTGAAGGATTTTGAAGGTTCCATCTGAGCGGAAACGCAGAGGCAGTTGGGGCTGCTTCTTCAGCTGGATATTTTGGTAATGAGTAGTTAGTCTATTTGAGATAACAAGTGTGTCAAGAACATACAAAGAAGCAATAATGAAGATAAAGAACAACAAAGAGTGGATCCATAGTCTTGCTGATTCCATACTTTGTTCAAAGGATCCAAATAGAGAAGCAATAACAAACATATACTACTACTCAGACTGTACCAATTTAAGTCAACTAATTTAACTTGACACAAAGGTGAACATGTACTAATATATGTTACTCTCTTCGTTTTACAAAAATGGTCTAGTTTGACTTGACACGAAATTTAAAAAAATAAAGAAAAATTTTAAATTCTGTGATCCTAAATTAAAGTTATATCAAATATACAAAATTTCCTTTTAATTTTGTGGCCTTAGACATGCTACGTGAAAAACTGAAAATAAAATGTTAGCAAAAGAGGAAAGAGGTCATTCTTTTTTAAACAGACTAAAAAGAAAAGGAGGTCATTTCTTTTTAAACGGAGCGAGTATTTAATTTGACTTGATATAGAGTTCAAAAAAAAGGAACAAAAATACTTTTTAAACTTATGATTTAAAGCATAAATGTTTGTTGGGGGATAAAAACTAAAATTTTAAGTTAGCTTTATTAATTAAATAGGAAAGTAAGTCGTATAAATTGAGTTGATTGAGATAATACACATCTTTAGTTTTACTAAGCCTACTACCTACTTTTGACTTGTTTATTATTTCCAATGCAAATTGTTGTCATGTTTTTTCTATTTTTCTTAAAGGCATAATACATATATTGGACCCTAAACTTGGCTTCAAATTTTAACTTTGACCTCCAACTTTCATAGTGCACAAATAGGCACTTTAACTTGTATAAAGTAGAACAAGTAAACACACGAGTCCTACATGGCACAATACACGTAGGACACCACGTAGGACAAAAAATGACATGTAGGATGCCATGTAGGACGCCATGTAGGACATGTGTGTCTATTTGTTCTATTTTATACAAGTTAAAGTGCCTATTTGTGCACTATGAAAGTTGGAGGTCAAAGTTAAAATTTGAAGCCAAGTTTAGGGTCCAATATATGTATTATGCCTTTCTTAAATGCGTTTAACCATTTAGCAGTTAGCAGCTGTAGTTGCGTTTCATTTTGGAAACTAGACACTTGTGTTCGGTTATACATTTTCTTGCAAACAGGATTGTCATTTCGATAATTTGCGTTTTAGCCCATTTATTTCTCAAACTAATTTTTACAAAAAGTTAATTTGAAATTTATTTTTCGTAGAAAAATAATGTTAAAGAGTACTTTCTTTGGTCCATATTAGGTGGATATAATATATCGAAAACTAAATTATTGAATTGAATTAAATTTTTTGATAATTTAGTAGTCGATAATTCGATATTTGGTATGAAATTTGAGAATAAAATTTTAGAATTATGATATTCGGATTTGGGTTTAGTATGAGATATTAGTACCATTTGGTAATTGATATTTCCCAAAAATCGAATTATTTACTTAATGAAGGTCATATATCACATGTTCATCACTCATTAATAAAAGTCTAAAGAGAAAGTTAAAGAATTAGCATAAGCAATCCAAATACATATGTTTTTAGTTGTATCAATTTGTTTTTCTTGATATCTTTTTACTTATTGATTTTCTATTAGATCGTGCCTCCACATAAAAAAAAATAGAAATGATTGGAGAAATAGTATTAACTTTGTAATACAATCGGCAATAATTTCAATACATTATTACCGAATACCGTACCAAATCAAAGTTTAATTTACCGATTATTGAATTACCAAACCGAAATTCAAAATTTTGGTATTTAATATCTACTTTTAACTTTCAATTACCGAATTACCAAACTCGAAATTTAAAAATCTCAAACTGAATACCAAACGCTCACCCCTAAGGGTCTGTTTGAAAAATTCAATAATAGCGACATCAATTTTTTTCTAAAAAATTAGTAACGTCATTAATTTTAAACCAATCAAATTCTTGCAGCAAACTTTGAAAAATTAACATATTGGTAAAAATTATAGTCAAAAAACATTTTACAAATACTGTAAGTCCTCAAAAATCATAAGTAAAAATTCCACCTAGATCCTATTTTTTTTTAGGTATTAATATGTTTAGTAGTTTTAGGATCTAAATGGACAAGCAATAACAAACATAAATTACAACTCACCTAGTACCAATTTATAACTGTTTAGTAATTTGATTTAACACATAATTTAATAGAGTGAACACTTTTTGAACTTGTAATTTAAAGTATAAATATTTATGTGGATAAAGAATAAACTCTTAAAATTATTGAGATTGAATAAATAGGAAAGTGAATCTATAAATTGTTAATGGGGATAATAAATTCATCTTAGCTAACTTTTTTTGATACTTATCTTCATTTTTAACTAAGTTATATATTTATAATTATTATATCATTTCCAATGGAAGTTTTCTATAGTTACTTATTAAATAGGAAAATAGGAAAGTGACTCGTATAAATGGTGACAGAGGATAGCTACCTACTTTAACTTGTTTATTATTTTCAATGGAAATGGTTGTCATGCGTTTTTTTTTTAACACCTATAACTTGCGTTTGGTTTGGAAACTAAACCCTCTTTTCATTTTTAGTGACATTCATTGTTATTCGTCATTGTTGACTTCACACTTATTAATAAAACAATTATTAATATAGATATTTTAGCAAACTATTTTTGTTAAATAATGTTTAGTACTTTCTCCATTCACTTTTACTTGTCACGATTTGACTTGACATACCAATTAAGAAAATAATTATTAATATAGGTATTTTATCAAATTATCCATATTAAATGATGTTAAATAGTATTAAGTCTTGAAAAATAATTTGAAGAAAGAGTATTTAATGTTGGGGTAAAACATGGAAGAAATATGTCAAAAGTGACAAGTAAAAATGAAAATATATTTTAGGTATAAATGACAAGTAAAAGTGAACAGAAGGAGTATTAAGTCTTGGAAAATAATTTGGAGAAAAAATATTTAATGTTGGGGGTAAAACGTGGAAAAAATATAATTTACGTTCATTGATTGAAAACTTAACTTTAAGAAAACATTAAATAAGAGTAGAATAGTAAACTTACTTAGTTTCGTAATGCACGTAAAATCTAAAATAGTGATATATAAATAGGAACGGAGCAAGAAATATTTCCTTGAGTTTCACTTCCACCATTTCGAAATTAAGGAGGGTGACACCAAATATTGATACTATATTTCCAAGAGTTAATATTATTGTGTGAGGTTTTTTCTTTCACAGAAAGTAGACCTAAAGTTTGTTAACCCAAAAGGTAAGATTAAAGTCTACATTTTTACGAGACAAATAGAAACTTCACACAACTAGTCTCAATTGAATAAAAAAAATCCTTAAGTAATTACATCTACGGGAAACATTAAAAATAAAGATCAATTACACCTGAGAATCGGAGAGTGTAGTTACCCATGTCAATTACATCCTATTATTTGCTGAATATTTACATGACCAGCCAAAACCAAAACCGATTATCAAAATGACTTTATGCATTAATGTTTTTTTTTGTATGCTTAATTTCCACAAATCACAACCACCCAGAGTGGAATGAATGACCAGATATTTTTTCCACACCTATTTTGAAACAATCAACGTATGCTAGAAGTAAGAATAATCAACTTATATTTATTAGCAATAAAACAAGAAACTTGTTTTGACTAGTTTCATGGACTCCATAGAAGAAAAATCTCCTTCCGTAAACACTTTGCACTCCTTGTTTTCTCTCATTCTTTCAGTAGTCAACCAACTTCTCTACGTAGCATGGAAATGAAGAACAATCATTACTTTCTGCTACTCTTTTTATGCTTCAGTCTCAACAGTAATCTCTGTATCGCAAGGAACACCATTTCTGCGAATGAATCTCTTTCTTTTAGTGAAACTCTTGTCTCTTCAGGTGAGAGATTTGAGCTTGGTTTTTTCAGACCAGGTAACTCTCTTAAATATTATCTAGGCATATGGTACAAGAACGTTATTTTATCGCAAACAGTAATTTGGGTAGCAAATAGGGATAAACCACTTGAGTATGGTGCTGCTGAGATGAAAATTAGTCAAGGAAACCTGGTGCTTCTTGATAGATTTCAAGGCGTAGTTTGGTCGGCACTTGCTGGAAACATCAATCCAGATATTTCAGTTACTGCACTTCTTCGTGATGATGGGAATTTGATTTTGAGAGATGTGTCAAATTCATCAACACCCTTACTACTTTGGCAAAGTTTTGATCACCCAACACACACTTTTATGCCTGGTGCTAAGATTGGATATGACAAACGTACACAAAGAAAACAGGTTTTGGTATCATGGAAGAATTCGAGTGATCCAGCACCAGGATTGTATTCTATGGAAATGGACCCAAAGAATGCTCAATTTGCTTTAAAATGGAATAGGACTACAGAGTATTTGGCAAGTGGTTCATGGGATGGCCGAACGTTCAGCTCAGTGCCTGAGATGAGTTCAAACTACATATATCATATCAGCTATAACGACAATGAGAATGAGTCATATTTTACATATTCCCTTTACGATAGTTCAACCGTATCAATGTTCATCATGGATGTCTCTGGACAAATTAAGCAACTAACATGGTTGAATGGTAGCTTTCAATGGGCTCTATTCTGGTCTCAACCGAGACAAATTTGTGAGGTTTATGCTAAATGTGGGGCATTTGGAGTTTGTACTGAAGCTAATGCAACCTGCAATTGTTTGAGTGGTTTCAAGAAAATATCAGATACAGAATGGAATTCAAATGATTATTCCAGTGGCTGTGTAAGAGACCAAAAGGTGCAGTGTAATGCAATTACTGAAGACAAAGATAGTTTATGGATAAGTTCAATTCTGAGAGTACCTGCTTCTCAAAATACTAATATCACAGTTGGGACAGCCTCACAGTGTAGATCTGCATGTTTCAACGATTGCTCTTGCACTGCTTATACTTATGATGGTTCCGGTACCTGTTCCATCTGGACAGGGGATCTGTTCAATCTGGAACAACTCAGCACAACTGAATCAGAAAGGACAATATTTGTCAAACGCAGCTCACCTGAAGGTTAGAATAGCATAGTATAACATACTTTGATTCTTTATTTCATATTAGTACTATGTTATCGATAGAATTCCTTATTAACGTTAGCACTTAACAACAATGATTCTCCTTTCAGCTCAAACTAAAGCTAAGAAATCGAAGAAGCTAAAAGCAATCCTTTCGTCAATATCCGCTTTGATGTTTCTACTCATAGGCAGCATTAGCTACATTTACTATAGAAGAAGAATGACAAAAAGAGCAGGTATTTGATGAATGAATGTTACTCTGGAAGATATTTTCTTTTATACCATTTTGAACTTAATTTCAAAGGTCTTTCTCAATCAGATAGAAGTAAAGGTATTCAAGGGGCACATAAATCTCACTGGCACAAAGCTGAAGGAGAAGCAAAAGTATTAATGAATGAAAACAGTGATGAAGCGATTGATGTTCCATATTTTCACTTGGAGACTATTTTGGAAGCTACAGACAACTTCTCAAATGCGAATAAGCTCGGACAAGGAGGATTCGGTCCTGTTTACAAGGTTAAAACTTCATTCCTACATCGAATAACTGGCATGGCTATATTGACCTATAGTAATGAGATGAAAAAAAATTGCAGGGTATCTTTCCGGGCGAAAAAGAAATTGCAGTGAAAACATTATCCAGTCAATCAGGACAAGGCATAGATGAATTTAAGAATGAAGTGACTCTAATTGCAAAGCTTCAACATCGAAATCTGGTGAGGCTATTGGGTTATTGCATCAATGCAACGGAACAAATATTACTTTATGAATATATGCCGAATAAAAGTTTAGATACATTCATATTTGGTGAGTTAGCCTTTGTTAAGTTCTTTATTCTCAAAGTCATACATTTCTTATAATGATCTAATTTTATTGACGTACCAAACTTTGTCATGGTAACGATGCAAGATGGAACACTTTGTCAATTATTGGATTGGAAGAAACGTTATGACATCATATTGGGCATTGCACGGGGTCTATCTTATCTTCACCATGATTCACGACTAAGGATCATTCATAGAGATTTAAAAACCAGTAACATTTTATTAGATGAGGAGATGAACCAGAAAATTTCAGATTTTGGCTTGGCAAGGATTGTAGAAGGAAAAGTAACAGAAGCAAATACAAAGAAAGTAGTGGGGACCTAGTAAGTATAATATTCCTTCCTGTCATTAATTTCTTACAAAAGGAGCTTTGGATAAAATCTTATACTCAAATGTTTTGTTCACCTGATGAAATCTAGCGGCTATATGTCTCCTGAATATGCACTAGATGGATTGTTTTCCATCAAATCAGATGTATTCAGTTTCGGAGTAGTCGCACTTGAGATAATCAGTGGAAGAAGGAATACAGGATTTTATCAGTCAGAAGAAGCCTTAAACTTGTTGGGCTATGTAAGTGAAGAATCTTCCCATGACTTAATTATTATATCTTCTTCTTAATTTTGTTTCTCAGATTTTAGAAAAATTATCACAGGCATGGAAATTGTGGACAGAAAAGGCTGAGATACAATTAATAGAAAAGTCATTACTTGAATCATGCAAAAGAAGTGAAGCAATAAAGTGCATAAATGTTGCACTCTTGTGTGTACAAGAAGATCCAAATCATCGTCCTAATATGTCAGATGTCATTGTAATGCTGGGAGGGGACGGTACTAACCTTCCAACACCTAATAGACCAGCTTTTGTAATAAGGACGCATACTTCTAATACATCTTCTTCTTCCTCTGATAAGAAATACATTGTATCCAACAATCAGGTGACGATTACAGTTGAAGAAGGACGTTAGCAGGAATAGTGAAGGCATTTAATTCGTATGGAAAGGGCTAGGGGTGGCACTAGCTAGGACTTAAAGATGAGCCATATTATACTTTTTTATCCTTGTTAACCTCTACTTTGGTCCTAAAAGTGTGCAGGGACAATTGTGCGTCGGTACTTGGCCAAATGTCCTCTTCTCTTTAATAGATAGGACAATAGGTGGAAATCTTGGGAAAACTTTCAAGTGTTTGTACTCAAAACATATACAATTTTGCTTTAGAATGTAGTAGGCCTTAGCAATCAAGTAATGCGATTGTTCCTGATGCCTTCAAATGTATAAGCCATGTAATTTTTCTTCTTATTCAATATGTTATTGGCCCAACCACCTCCCCCAAAAGAGAGAAAAGTTTGTCCAAAGAATGCATGAAAAAAGCATTGAGGAAAGAAACAAAGAAAGGAGTTGCACTTAAAGAACAAAACTGCAAAACAAATGTCTAAAGTATCGATCAACAGAATGTGCACAAAATAGGTAGACACGGTTGATTCACTAGTGCATATCATTTTAACAAACTATGCTTATTTAAAGCCACCTTGTTGAAACTTTTATCACTAATATAAGTCTCAAGTGTTTCTTTCCAATGTAATTAGACAAATCCATGCATGCCTTTTCCAGGAACTTTCCAGATACGAGACAACACTGAACAAACAGTGACCTGATCCAACTTGAGTGTACATATATATATTAAGTTTCTTACGCATACCCGTTGTCTGGTTGTCTGGTTGATGAAGGAATATTATAAAGGGTTGGGTAGAATTTAGTGGCAGCGTTTCAATCAGGGTAGGAGACGGGAAGAGAGTTATGTTTTGACATCATAAGTGGTGTGGGGATAACACTTTGAAAGATGATTTCCTGAACACATACAAAGTCTCATGCCAAAAGGAGTAGTTAATCTAACAAATTCAGAAGATACAAGGTGGAGAGGTTTTCCGGGACTTCAAGGTTCAAGAGGAATTTCCATAATTGGGATGTGATTGAGTTCCAAGGATTGCAAGATGTGCTTCACATGAGTTCACAAACAATGTACTCACTTGATAGCCATGAATCATGATGATTGGAGGTGTTCGTTGGAGAATAATTGAACTTTCTTTGTTAAGTCTTTTTATGAACAACATTTTGAGTAGGGAGCGATTTCATTTTCATATAGCTCGATTTGGATCTCGGGGGTACCCAGGAAGGTGTATTTCATCACTTGGTTAATCTAGAGAGGTGATTCTGACGATAGAGAATCTCAGGAAGCAACAGTTAGTTTGTGTTAGTGTTTCATGTGCAAGGAGGCTAGTGAAGACGTCAATCATCTTCTTCTACATCGTCATCTTACCTCAAGTTTATGATGGAAATTCCTAATTGGTTTGGCATATCATGGGTGATGCCAAGCATGGTAAAGGAGTTAATATTCCGTTTGAACTGTGGGAGGAGGAAAAGGCGGACACAAGATCTAAACAAGCTGCTAATAGTTTAGCTAAGGACTAGTTATTTCTTGCTTCTTTAATTGTGATCATAGTTTTTAATACCCCTCCGTCCCATTTTATGTAGCACTCTTTTATGAGTCCGTCTCAGCAAGAATGTCACCTTCCTATAATTAGAAATAATTTAACTTTAAAATTCTCCTTTTACCCTTAATGACATGATTTATAACCCACACAAATATCTAAGATTTGATTTAGACCACAGGTTTCAAAAGTCTTCCCTTTTTTCTTAAACACGGTGCCCAGTCAAACGATGTCACATAAAATGGGACAGAGGGAGTATTTAATATTAGCTAAAGTAGTCCTTTAGTTGGTTCCCAATATCAGTCACAAGTTAGCTATTGAATGTGATTACCGTTCTTGCCAAATCATAATAAATGGAAGACAAACGGACGGAAGATAACAGGTGAATCAGAAACATTAATAATCAGATCCGTAACTACATACCATGTACCATCTGAACTTTATTAGTCTCCCTGTAAAATATTTTGATTTTTCTGAGGAAACTTTATATCCATCAGCAAACTGTACTTAGTGCAACAAACCACAAACTGCACTCCGCGAAACACCTCATAGGGTCATACCTCTTGAATGTAGTAGTTTTAGAGAAAATATTTAACACTTTACTGCCTACTGTCTAAATATTGCCTCGGTGGTGAGCTCATGGAAGCGGAAACGATTACACAATTCAATAGGGATAAGCTTCTTATAGATCATCAGACAACATAAGCTAAAAAATCTTGACACACAATACAAGTAGAGTTATTTATTGAGATTTAGCATATTCTGAATCTCTATTGTACCATTTCTGGAAAGGCAGAAAGCAGTTACTGAATCTTGAATTAGAACCTCTGCTCTAAACATCCAGAAAGGAATCGAAAGGGAAAGTCTGTTTCTTACTTCAAATAATGTCAATGCAATACATATACGTGACATTTAAACTTTAGATATGCACAATTAGACACTTAAGCCTGTGCCAGAAGACCTTCTCGCAGATGATTTCTAGTCAGTGTGCCGCGAGTGGCTTCTCGATGAATAAGCTGTGATTGCTCTTGTTGATACAGTTTCAATTTTTTGTATAAAATTGAACAATAAGACGCACATATCCTACCTGGCATAATACAGGTAAACAACAGAAGGGGAAGTTAAAGTTATTACCAGTAAATACAATCAAGTCAGGCTTTTCAATGTGAATCATCTTCCTCAAGAAATGAGTAATGTTGAGGTCAGAACAGTAATTGAACTCACTCTCCAAAACACCAACACATCTATACACCGAGTCACCATCCCATTCCCATAGTGCATATCAGCAACCTAAAACACACCAAATTGGAACAAAATTGCAACACCCACTTTGCCACAACCCAGCTAAAGTTTTTCGATTTACTTTAACATTTTTTCAACAATTTTTTTATTTTATTTTCTAGTAAAGCAAAAAAGAAGTTAAATGTTGTATTAGAACCTGGAGGATTTTGAAGGTTCCATCTGAGCGGAAACGCAGAGGCAGTTGGGGCTGCTTCTTCAGCTGGATATTTTAGTAATGAGTAGTTAGTCTATTTGAGATAACAAGTGTGTCAAGAACATACAAAGAAGCAATAATGAAGATGAAGAACAACAAAGAGTGGATCCATAGTCTTGCTGATTCCATACTTTGTTCAAAGGATCCAAATGGAGAAGCACTAATAAACATATACTATTACTCACACCGTACCAATTTATGTTATCTAATTTAACTTGACACAAGGTTCGAACTTGTATTAAGATATGTTATTTAATTTAACTTGATATAGAATTTGAAAAGAGAAACAAAATCACTTTTTAAACTTATGATTTAAAGCATAAATGTTTGGGGGGGTTAAAAATATATTTTTAAGTTACTTTATTAATTAAATGGATAAAGATCTGAAAAATACCTCAATTTTGGTCGAATTTATTGTTGCGATACTAAACTTTCATGAGAATCTATTACCTCCCTAGATTATTTAATACCGTATTTTTTATCCCCCTAAATTATTTAATAGTATATTTTAAAGGTATATATGTGTTCATTTGAACACATTACTATTTATAATTTTGCATTATTTTTTATCACGTGAGAAAATATATATGTTTAAAATATGGTATTAAATAGTCTAGGGAGATAATAGGTCCTCATGAAAGTTTAGTATCGCAACAACAAATTCAATCATAATTGAGGTATTTTTCAGACTCTTATCTCTTAATTAAATAAGAAAATGAGTAGTATAAATTGCGGCGATAAAGATAATACACATCTTTGGTTTTAGCCTACTACCTACTTTTGACTTGTTTATTATTTCCTATGCAAATTGTTGTCATGTTTTTTCTTTTTTCTTTTTTCTTAAATGTGTTTAATTATTTAGCAGTTAGCAGCTGTAGTTGCGTTTGATTTTGGAAACTAGACACTTGTGCTCGGTTATACATATTCTTGCAAACAAGATTGTCATTTCGATAATTTGCGCTTTAGCCCATTTATTTCTCGAGCTAATTTTTACAAAAAGTTAAATTTGAAATTTATTTTTCGTAGAAAAATAATGTTAAAGAGTACTTCTTTTGGTTCATATTAAGTGGACATAAAATATCGAAAACTAAATTATTGAATTGAATTAAATTTTTTGATAATTTATTATTCGGTAATTTGATATTTGCTATGATATTTGAGAGTAAAATTTTAGAATTATGATATTCGAATTTGGGTTTGGTATGAGATATTAGTACCATTTGGTATTCGGTATTTTTCGAAAACTGAATTATTTACTTAATGAAGGTCATATATCAACATGTTCATTACTCATTAGTAGAAGTCCAAAGAGAAAGTTAAAGAATAAGCATAGGCTGTTGGGTTTTAAAAGGTGTGAATGGAAAATGAAGAGTTGCGACTTTTATGAAGAGTTGTGACTTTTATGAAAAGTTACGATTTTTATGAAAAGTTATGACTTTTATGAAAGGTTGTGACCTTTCCGCAAGATTGTGACTTTTCCAAAGGGTTGTGACCTTTCCGGTAAAGCACAATAAGAACATTTTCACACTACCCTTTGTTTTCTATAAATTGAGGGATTTCCTCTCATTTAAAAATAAAATAAAAAATTCTAGACTTCTTCTACTACTACTAAATCTAGTATTCTAAGTGTACTTTACCGTCGTTGAGTGATTCGCTGACACCGTGGTTTTAGGTACCGATACATCGGTGAGTAAAATCGTTCTATCCTGGGAGGATATATTCCATTAATCTCGGGTACTTGAGGGGAATAATTTCCTTAAAATTGTTGTTCATCTTGTATTCCTAAGATACTTAGAACAAAACTTCGAATAACTTGGTAAAAAACAACAAAGTTTAAAGAGTATTTCCTGTCCCCTTAAGGAAATTAATATACTGTTGGTATTTCTTGTATTGTACTGATTGAGGGAAACATATCATGGGAGTAGAAGATTAATGCACTACTTCTTCAGAATTCGGTGTCTTATTTAGCAAGATCGAATTGAGAA